TCTAGGGAGAATATTTTTGGAGGGAAAGTCTAATTTGTGAAGAATGGATTGAGAATGGAGTGATCACGTTTTTGATCACTTAAACACACCCAAAATTAACCAAATAAACCTAGTAGGTTCAGGTTAGCACGTGGAGTGAATTACCCATTCACCCCTTAAAAAAAACAGTCGCAGTCATGTAGTTGCAGGCAACCATCGATGAATAGCATCGACTGGTCTTCGACTAGAGAACGGGGCATCCTGCTACTCCATTGTTGGGTACTGTAGTTCCTTCTTTGAGACACAAGGCTGACCAAACTAAGTGTTGAGCTACTCCTCTTACAGGCCCTTGGGAAGTCGTACACAGAAATTTCCAACATAAATATGAACACTGAAAAGTGAAATAACTTCCACATTAGTTTCACCCAAACAATCACACGCAACATGTCCAAACATTCTAGGCACACTCAAGACACACATCTACATGTCACAAGGCTAACTTTCAAACGTCTTGGACGTTTGACCTCAAAACTTCATGAAACTCCATACAATGCTTATAAACATCATTTTTACTCATATAAGGACCTCATATTCTCATCAAACAGACATAAGCACATAAAAAACCTAAGACCCGTTAGGTGACTAGTCGTCAAACCTCTTTGTCATCCCTTGACGTTTGACTTCTAAATGACTTCAAATCACCCATGCTTACTTTTAAACACTCAATTAACATGTTAAAAAGATTATATGCTCAAGTGAGTCTTTAGACATCCTAAATCAATTTGAGGGTCTTACAATATCCCCCACTTGGGAACATTTTTTCTCGAATGACACTTTGAACACTTTAATCATAACAAGGACTTCAATGAATCAAAGAGCAGCTTACAACATTCATAACATTACCATATAGAAGTTAATGCACCAGACTTGAAAGGAACACAACTTCAAACCATTTAGCACTAAATGTACACATGGAAGCAAGACCTTTATTCACTCACTCTTTAATGCATGAAACACAGATTCTCTTATCATGTTCATAGGAGGAACATCCTTCTCCTAATCATAACATGGTCTTTACATTTTAATTTACTAAGAGCTCATCTTGCAACCATCCTTAAGTCAAACTTAGACAGATTTAACAACACTCAAGAAACAATTAGGTGCTCATACTTGAATACACATAGACTTGAGTCAATTGAATGAACAAGGATCTTTATTAGTTAGACCTAGTTCCATAAGAGTCATACTCAACCATACCATACTTATTTGTGTCCATGTGTCACGCCTTGTATTCAATGTGTACTAGTTCTATGTATATGTAGCTCAAAAATTTCCTTGTGGTATAGTTATGGACTCGGTTTCCTATGCGACTGGTGATATTAGTATATGTTTAAAGTTTTAATACCCCGTGTCTTCCAACACATATACAAATAACTAAACTAAAAAACAATTCAAACTCAGAATATAAAAAGGTGGCATTCAATATAAAAATCAAAGTGGTCAAGTGTATATTAGTGCTACGGTCTAGTAAATAATTTAAGATGGGGAAAATTGTGTAAAATAATTGAGGTTCTTTCTTGACTAAAATATGCTAGTAGGTAATAAGTAGGTGATGCACCTACTTAGAATAAGTGGACTGAATTTTATGTTAAATGCACCTACTTGGAATTGGTGGAAAGAATTTTAAAGGAGCAAGTAGGTGATGCACCTACTTAGAATAAGTTGACTAAATTTAAGTGAAAGAGCAAGTAGCTAATGCACCTACTTAAAAACATGTGGCAGAAACTAAGGAGGTGATGTACCTTCTTGCTTAAAAGTAAAGGACCATATTATTTCTCCAATTTATTAAGTTAAAATTTCCAAAAGGGACAACTAAATCACTCAAGCTTATCACCTCTCGCTCGTCACTTATTTTCAAGAAAATTACTTCCAAGAAAATCCATAGAAGTTCCAAAGAGTTCTGTTCTAAAGCATCACCATTACAATATGAAGGAAACAAGTGTTTTTAAAGTACAATTTTCAAAACATCTCCATCTTATGGAATTCAAGTGAACAATATGAATTAACATCAAGGTAAGGGGAAGAGGACAACCTAAACCTTAAAGAATCCAAGTCTTGGCAATTGAGGTTTATGTCTAGCAAGGTAAGTTGTGGAAATTTTCATCCCTATCTTGTCTTACATCATTTGTAAAAGTTTTTATGTGTTAATGAATTGTTGAGTGTTTCCTCTGTATGGTGTGATCTTGGTGAATGTTCAGGAAGATGTGCTTGTTGATAAATCCAAGGAGTAGAGTCCCCTTAAATTTTGATATTGATCTTGTTTAGAGAATCAAAATTATAGTTGAAATTCACGGGATGTTGATCAGATACCATGAGTCCATATTGCTATTTCTACATTGTTAGGCTTAGGGACTGTTTTGTGTATCAAAAAATAAGAGGGTCCGGCTGGATATATAGAAAAGTCATGAAAATTGGTTAGAGGATAGAACATTGAAAGTGTAGTGATACACCACTTAATTAAGTATTGCATGAGCTTACTTCCTTCCATTCCTTTAATATTGTTTTCTAGACGTGATGAATCCTTAGGGGTTTCGAAGGACCTTATAAAAATGATTAGGGGAAAATAGATGGGAAGAACTCTGGATGGGATCAGTTATAGATATAATGCCAATTACTGTTTTGGTCTTAGCAAGTAGCCCAAACTTGTTTAGACATTAATATTAATTTTTATTGTTTACTCGATTGTATATAAATAATCTGAATGGAAGATGGTTAACTCATTGTGATATCCATTGATGTGCAGCAAGTTATGTACGACTGTTCGATTTCCTATTTCTTTGGCATGAATTCAACACTTGTAAGCTAAATAAGTGCTCTTGGTAGTGACTAATCCTTAAATGCAGTTCGTAATCCCTAGAGAATTAAAGTGAGTACTCTAATATGAGTTTGTTACTCAATGTGCATGTTTACTCTACCAAGTGTTAGCATGCAAGGTTTAAACTTGTTTCATTGTCAAAGTACCCCTGACATGTATTTCCCTTATATAAGTCAAAGTGATCTTGTCATACATGGTATATATGTTTATAGGATGGATACACGATCTGCCCATTTCTTGCCAACTTGCTTCAATAGTCTATTCCATCATATATGTCATGTTTTCACATGTTCATGTGTTCCCTTTATTGATTATTACTCCCATCGTCCTTAAGTTGAATTTTTCCACATTCTTTCTTGGTTCCACATTCATGTATACCTTGTCTTTGATATTAGTTGGTGAGTATTTGACTATCATATAGAGTTCAAGTCTCTTGGCTGAAAGTTATATGTCTTCACTTCATATGTGCTTAAATTTGAGATGTCAAAAATGTGTACTGAGTCATAGAAGAAGTATTACATTGGTGTCACATTTGCCTCCTACATCATTGTCATTATCGTTAGTCCATATTCATATGTCTTCTACTATTGGTTCATAGTTCCAAATCTCAACACTGATTATGACCACCAAAAAATCAATCCCGAATGAGTTATTATCAACAAAAGAACAATCTCAAAAGAGTTAAGATTATCCAAAGTATAGTCTCAATAGAGTTATGGACATCAAAGCAACATTCTCAAAGAATAGAAAACATCTAACTGAAGCAATTTGTATAATTATGGGTGGCAGCCCAGGGGCAAAGCCTAGCATGGGTCGATCCTAATTTGTATAAAAGGTTGAAGCTAGGGGGTGAAATCCTAGCATGGGTGAATCCCGATTGGTATGGAAGGATGGCAGCTTAGGGGCGAAAACCTAGCATGGTCCGATCCCAATTTGTGGAATTATGAGGACAACATCCCAGGAGTTAAACGGCCTAGCATGGGGTCATCCTTCCCTACCACTGATCAACTGGTCCTTTGCATCATATGGATTCCAAAATCTATAACTCACACAAAAGTAAAGAAAAGAATGTACCATACACCATTCCACAAGTATAAGCAAAGGTGGTCCTTTACATCATATTTGTATTTGATTCCACTTGAGCTCTCATGTCACATATGGTTGTATTATGCCTTACATTATAATTACATTCTTACGTACTGACGTCCCTTATAGGGGCGTTGCATTTCATGCTGCACGTACAAGTATTCAAAGTAGATCTCCTTAGTTGTTGTTGGTGAGCTCGAAGTTGATTCGGGGCTTTGCCGAGTCTTTACTAAGCGTATTCTCATAGCATGGATTCTTATAGATAATTTGTAGATATTGCAAAGCTATCATCTATATTCATAGTTTCACTTGTCACATGTATTGGTTCAGCTAGTCAACATGTGTAGTATATAAGGCTTTTCATCATCAGTAATATGCATAATACTTTACTTTCTAATCAAAGGTTACTTGTAAAGCATGTGTTCATAGGGTACTTGCCTGCCTCACATAGGGTTGGGGTGTGACAAAAGTGTATCAAAGCAGTTCGTCCTAGGGAGTCTACAAAACCGTGTCTAGTATATATAGGCTTAGTTATGAATGTGTTGCACTCCACATTTACAATTAGGGGTTTGCTTGGACATTTAGGAAAGTTACCTTCCTTCATAATTCTGATGGTGCGATAGAGTGAAGTTAAGAAATTATTTCCAGTTGTATCAGATCTTGCTATTCATATTAACTATGTCTATGGTTTGCGGTTGTTAAAGTATCAGTATGTGACATACAAAAAGAACCTCAAGTTACCAAAAGTTTGACTAGATTCAACTCATTTATTTGAAGATCAGTTGTAAAGGTTTTTATGTTATTTCCATCTAATGATATATAGGTACCATTTGCATCATGTTGGTTCAAAAATGATTTGTTACCTAGTTACATATATTTGTTGTAGCATTTCCAAGCACAGCTTCTTAAGAGGATGTAACCAGCTCTTGAATTCTATATCTCCTCCATACTTCATGATCTATTCCCATAGAGGACACTTGTTCTTAGTCTTTGATATACATTGAATTCTCAGCGTTACACATGTTCTCGAGATTGATGTAGTTAAACCAGTTTCTCAATTTTATAGGTGGATGTATCAGTGCAATAGTGTTACTAGAGATATATCCCTAATTGGCTGGCAAGGCTCAAATTCTCATCGTATGTCCTCTTGAGTATGTTAAGGTTTGACATTTATATGGTATGTGCCAACAACCCTGAATAAGTAATAATAGCATTTGTATTCTTTTTATGGTTAAAAACATAGGATAAGTGAATAATATGAATTAACATCATGGTAAGGTGAAGAGGACAACCTAAACCTTAAAGAATGCAAGTCTTGGCAATTGAGGTTTCTGTCTAGCAAGGTAAGCTGTGGAAATTTTCACCCCTCTCTTGTCTTACATCATTTGTAAAATTTTGTATGTGTTAATGAATTGTTGAGTGTTGCCTCTGTATGGTGTGATCTTGGTTAATATTCATGAAGGATGTGCATGTTGGAACATACATGGAGTGGAGTCCCCTTAAATTTTGATAAAGAGCTTGTTTTGAGAATTTAAATATTAGGTGGAATTCACGGGATGTTGATCGTGATGCCATGAGTCCATATTTCTATTTCCACATTGTGAGGCTTAATGACTATTTTGTGTATTATAAAAATAAGAGGGTATGGCTGGGTATGTAGAGAAGTCATAGAAGCTGGTTAGAGGATAAAACATGGAAAGTGTAGTCATACACCACTTAATTGAGTATTGCGTGAGCTTACTTCCTGCCATTCCTTTAATACTGTTTTCTAGACGTGATGAAGCCTGAGAGGTTTCGGAGGACCTTATAAAAATAATTAGGGGAAAATGGATGGGAAGAACTCTGGATGGGATCAATTATAGATATACTGCCAATTACTGTTTTGGTCTGATCAAGTAGTACAAACTTGTTTAGACATTAATATCAATTTTTCTTATTTACTCCATTGTACATAAATAATCTGAAAGGAAGATGGTTAACTCATTGTGATATCCATTTTTTGCAGCAAGGTAAGGCTATTCGATTTCCTATTTCTTTGGAATGAATCCAATACTTGTAAGCTTTCTAAGTGCTTTTGGTAGTGACTTATCCAAAAATCGTACTCCCTAGAGAATTAAAGTGAAAACTCTACTACGAGTTTGTTACTCAATGTGTGTGTTCACTCTACCAAGTGTTAGCATGCAAGTTTTAAACTTGTTTCATAGGAAAGTACCCCGAACACGTATTTCCCTTATATAAGTGAAATTGATCCTATCATACATGGTGCATATGTTTGTAGGATGGATGCACGATCTGCTTTTATCTTGCCAACATGCTTCAATAGTATATTCCATCATATATGTCATGTTTTCACATGTTCATGTGTTCCCTTTATTGGTTATTACTCCCATCGTCCTTCAATTGAATTTGTCGACATTCTTTCTTGGTTCCATATTCATGTATACCTTGTCTTTGATATTATTGGTACGTATTTGGCTATAATATAGAGTTAAAATCTCTTGGATGAATGTTATATGTCTTCACTTCATACGTGCTTCCATTTGAGATGTCAAAAATGTGTACTGAGTTATAGAAGAAGTATTACGTTGGTATCACATTTTCTTCCCACATCATTGTCATAGTTCATATTCATATGGCTTCTACTACAGGTTCATAGTTCCAAATCTCAACAATGATTTATGACCACCAAAATATCAATCCCAAGTGAGTTATTATCAACAAAAGAACAATATCAAAAGAGTTATGATTATGCAAAGTATAGTTTCAAAAGAGTTATGAACATCAAACCAACAATCTCAAAGATTAAAAAAATCTAAATGAAGCAATTTGCTTAATTATCGCTGGTAGCCCAGAGGCAAAGCTTAGCACTGGATCGATCCCTATTGGTATAGAAGGGTGGCAACTCAGGGGTTAAATCCTAGCATGGGCCTATCCCGATTTATTGGTATAGAAGGGTGGCAGCTCATGGGCGAAAGTCTAGCATTGGCCAATCCCAATTTGTGGAATTATGAGGACAACATCCCAAGGGTTAAAATGCCTAGCATGGGTCATCCTCTCCTACCACTGATCAGTTGGTCCTTTGTATCATATGCTTACAAAAATTATAACTCACAAAAAAGTAAAGAAAAGAATTTAGCATGCATAATTCCACAAATATAAGCAAAGGTGGTCTCCAATCCTTATCTATTGGTATTTGGTTTCACTTGAGCTCTCATGTCAAATATGGTTGTATTATGCCTTACATATTTAGTACACTCTTTCGTACTGACGTCTCTTATTGGGGTGGTGCATTTCATGCTGCAGGTATAAGTATTCAAAAGTAGATCTCCCCCATAGAAGAACATGATACTCAGCTGTTGTTGGTGAGCTCCAGGTTGATTTCGAGCTTTGACGAGTCTTTACTATGTGTATTCTCATAGCATGGATTCTAATATAGGCTTTGTAGACATTGTAAAGAATTATCTGTATTCATAGTTTCACTTGTCACGTGTATTGGTGCAGCTAGTCAACATGTGTAGTATATAAGGCTTTTTTCATCAGCAATCTGCATAATAGTTTACTTTCTCATCATAGTTACTTGTAAAGCATGTGTCCATAGGGTACTTGTCCGCCTCACCTAGGGTTGGGGTGAGACACCATGGAGGTATGTCCTTCTCCTCAACACACTTGCATGTCTCATGAGTTCATATCCAAACAAATGCACATACGTCAACTTTACTGTAACATGAGAACTTTTAAACTTTTAACACTAGCATGGTCATACAATCTTCGTAGTGAAGTCAAAATTGTAATTCACACCACACACATCACAACAATAGGAAGCCGTTTCACATAGATTTCAATTCTAGCCTAGCTATCATAAACATGAATAATTTAAGGAAATGTTACAATTTATAGGCATACACTAGACATGCCTTCACTTTTCAAAAGTGAGCCTAAAATCATGCTTTCCAAATCATAAAAGCCACAGTTTACAAGAGACTCCTCATTTTTCATTTTAAAGGAGCTCAATTACTCTACTCAAGTAACACCACTTCTTGTTAGTGGCACCATTTTTATATTTTGTGTAATATACAGCACAACATCCAGTACGAGTGTCTATGATCATGCAATAGTAAAGTAAAACAACCAAGGATTGGGGTCGTTTCCACTAGGAGTGGTGGTGAGAATTAATAGGAAAGTAAAATTATGTTCTAACTAGTTCTAGTTAAAGATATTACCGAACAAAAACATTATAAATCAATTATAGGGTGACGCAACGTCAAATATCATTGGGGTTTTTGTCACTAATAGTAAAAAAATGAAAATAACAAGATAACTAAATCAAGTGAGGGGGATTCTGGGGATGTGATAGCAATACGAGTTGAGCTAAATTTTTGAGTACATGATTTCAATAGAATATTTATAGTATAAGTGTGATACACTATGCTTTAAGGGGGATAATCTCTCTCTCTCAAGCAACTTACCCCATTTAAAATGCAATGCACTAAGGCACCCACATCCCGCATGAAGACGAGCCTATTCCTTAACTCACTCTCTCTCTCTCTCTCTCAAGTTGATTTTGTGGTATTGAGACCAGGCTCACTCTATTGAGCTCAGTCTCATGTTGACCCGTTCCCGCTGGCCATCAATTTACTAAATAAACTTGTATTTGCAACTATATATTCATTATGTTCATACACAACTACTAAATAAAATCACAATAAAACTATTATTAATCTATAAGAATACAATATCCAACAACAACCTTAACCCATATTAAAAAAGAACAACCCAAGAATTGGGATTTCAGTTAGACATAAACAACAGGTAGAAATTCATACCAAAATGATCTTGTATTCAAGTGGCTATGAAGATTTTAGTATTGTTACTCCCCAAGGAAGAATAAATCAAAAGATCCAAGTCCAAATCCTTTGAGTTGAATGACACATCCAGGGAGCACTCCCTAGACGTAACCGACATCCTCATCCTCATCGATGACTAAGACTAGCCTCTTAGCATACATCATTACATTCATAGGTTAGAATGCTGAAAATTTAAAACTTTTTTATATCTATCTTGAGGTTTACATAAACCTCTCGCATACACAAAATATATTCATATCGAGTATACATAGACCCTTCGTATAAGAAAATTACTTAGTCTTCTACTTTTATTGCACATTCATATGTAAAAGATATAATATCGTCTAAAAACTGGATATCTTACCTCATAACCATCTAAACAAGAGTATAATAATTGGGCATAGCCCATACATCAATACGATAAATGCCACATATAGGCTATACAATCTTTTGTACTCAAATGAAAGAAAATGAACATATTGTCTTCAAGACTAATAAATATCCGAAGCTAGAAAATGGCATTGTCATCGCAAACCTTAAACTACCGGAATCTAAAATGTTGGGGAAAAGAGAGAAAATGGGGTTAGCACATCACTTGTACTAAGTATGAGACCTTAGCATAAAATCATGCTAAAGAGGGACATTTCAATTAAGTATGCAATTTACTTTGAAACACCTTATGGACATTTCAAGAAACCATACAAATCAATAAAACATATTCATTATGACAAGACTATGAACATCACAAGACCAACCATACTAATTCCAATCAAACCAACATGCATATCAACACAATTGAATACATAGTCAAGAAAACCAATACAACAAATCAAAACATCATCTAACATGGATAAGATCACCATAAACATATCATTTAAATTTATAAGAATATACATATATAAGAACATCCTCCTGAGACTTTCCTCAAGGCTAAATAATGGAATGTATAGGTAGAATCCTATACCCCCCTAACTACACTAAGATAATCCCCGGGTCATGCTAGTTAGAGTTTATTGTTTTAGTTTATTTTACCTTTTGGCAACATCTTTCCTTAATCGACATAGGCCACATGAGCTAATGTGGAATCCGGTGTCATGGAAACCTACACCGAAGGAAGGCGGACTACTTGCCAAGATAGTACAAAAACATGAACATAGCATGTAGGTTGATACACTAGCTAGGGGTAACATAGTTCAAGAACTAAGAGATATAGTTGCGATCCTCTTTATGCTACATGCATTATAGAGTCCAATCTCATAAGTACATTAGTGATTCTACCTTCCCTATGTGGGAAGGGACACTCCTCACTCTTGTTCAATTGGTACTAAGCTAGAGTCCTTTTTTAAAATATCTCTAATGCCTTATTAATCATTATAGCTTAAGAATTGCATGAGTATTATCCTTTCATTACAATTCATAGAAGTGAGTTTAGCACATTTACATAATCACATCATGATAAGGCACATTGGTAAGTTATCACCATCCTTATAACATGTAAATCTTAGCCAAAAACTCATAATCCATAGTTCAAGACATTTCAATTGAATTTCATACAAACCGTAGCAATCTTAACATAAGGTATACTTTAACATAATATCATCACTTAATCACAAGAAATCATAATTTAAGTATATAATAGGCATCACAAGAATTACCCAATCTCCTTCACAATTCTATCCTCAAGGTCTTACCATCAACCATCCAATTCAAGCCAATAATGGTATCATATCATCACACCATAGTAACCAACATAATAGTGAATTAAATTGACTAACTACACAACAACATCACTAGTTCATAGCCTAGAACTAGAGACTTAGATAAAATTCATAATCTACTTCAAAATCTAGGTCAATTACTCAAGCACTAGAATAATTGGGTTACAATGTATCATAATATAATGATGATTAGTATAATAAAAACAGAGGATAGTAATTTTCACACTAACCAAGCCAATTATATCAATACTATACAATTCAATTAAAGATCACAACCTAGTATTAAGGGGAAAAGGTCATCTTTCCAAAAATTAGGTCAATTCATCAAGAATTAGTATAATGTAACCATAATACATGTTAATATACTCATTATACCAATAGAAATCATAAACAAAATAGTTCTCAATATCAATATCGGATTGGAAGAAAACCCACTTAGAACTCAACTTTTTGAAATCAATTTGGAGGAACCCTCTGGGGATAGAGGATCCCATACCTTGTTGAATAATGAAGTGTGATGGACAAACTTGACCTTTAGTAGCCCTAGAACACTCTTGAACTTGACTTTCCATGGTGTTCTTCTACTTCGGAGTGAGAAAGAAGAGAAAGGAAGAATAATTTGTTTTTTGGAATTAGGAGGGCTTTGGTTAGTTTAATTAGGTTAGAGTCTTTATATAGGTCATTAACAAATTTAATTAGACCTCTCTAAACCCATATATAATTAACTAACCACCTAATTAATTAATTTAGTCAACTAAAAAATGTCCAGCAAAACAGTGTGCTCACAGATAAAAGCACGAGTGATGCATTTGTCAAACGACGGCAAAGGGACCAACCGTCCTATTCGTTCGTTTTTGACTAAGGCTTTCCAAAACTAGCTTCCAATAAATTTGGGTAAGTGACCATCGACGGTGTACATCGAATCCCCGTCGATTGGACCACGAGCCGTCACCTGCAACCTTCATTGGACACTGCCTTTTGGCAGCTTTTGCCAAATTGTGAGAATCCTCCTAAAGGACTCTTTGTTTAGTCTTTGGGGGGTCGTACCCTTAATTTTCGACTATAAACTAACTCTATTACGTGTTAGACAACTTACCACTAAATTTCATCATTTGTGACTCTTAAAACTTCGTCAAATAGACTAAGGCACACTAGCACCTCATTGAACTAGTTTCGGGACGTCATGGACGTTCTTTGATGTTTTGATTCAAAACTTCCTAATTGACTTACACACTATTTAAGACCTTAAAATAGTGAGGAAAAAACTTTAGACACTCATGTGAGGCTATAACACGTCTTAGACTTTCGGAATGTTACATTGAAACTCCGTCTTCAAGTTCTTCTTCCAAAAATCTTCTAAAACATAGAGCTCAAACACATAGATAAGAATGAAAAAATATGATTATAATATATTCTAACAATAATATTTCGATCTCTAACTTAAAATACTCATCATATTTATAGTTTTGAAAGATTTGGGCTACACTGGGATGCTCAGCAGCATTAGTTGGAATCTCCAAACAAATTGGCGATTTGACCTTTAATTACTTCATTATCATCTTGTGCGTAGTCCAAGCATCTCTATGTTGTGGGGCACAAAATGACAAGGAACTATTTCACAGAACTTCACCGTGATGCACCGACTGCCTCTTTCTACTAACGATTTGATCCCCTCCTTTAATGCTCATCACACTAGAAGAAAAAGCGATCTTCGGAGTTATTAGTGATTCGCCAAGTTGACTCAGAAATAATTAGGTGTTCATTTCTTTATGCTTCTCATTCCGTTTTCTTTTTTTTTCTAAATTAGTGTTCATGATTTGTCTCAAACTTAAAGTATTATAAAATCAAGGTTTTTCACTAATAATTAAAATAAAAAAATAGAAAAATTTAAATTCATAATATACAAACATAACCAACATTACAAGTCATTTCATTACATAATATTATAATCAACATATAAGCAATTTAATCAT